TTGGTTTTCCGTAAACATTATATCAAATAAAAAAAACTATTAAAGTTCAATTAAAACACGGTAATACAGACGACATAACAATTACAGAAACAAAAAGGATTTAAAAATGTATGTATTTGGACTATTCAACTCTCATATGGTTCAATCTGTGCAGATGCCATTTTCAGGCTTCTCCATCTTGAATGAGATCAGAATCTCAATAGCTCAAAAACCAATAGCTTTTCCCTGTCTTTTATTTGAAAGAATTTCTTTTATCATAGTTTTCCTTTCATTCGAGATGTTTCCACTATTTTTTTTTTTTTTTTCATTTGCAGTTTCCCTTTTCTTTTATTTTCGGCATTTTATAAATGAATGTTTGTTTTTAGTTTTTTTAAAGGGATAGTCAGAGTTTAATACTTTTAATCCTTGCTTTGAAAGCAAAATCAGATAATAAAGAAATGGTCAGGGACTATATATTTACCACAGATGAAGGAATATTTCAATGTTATTTCAAACGTTTTCTTTATTCTATTTATTTTTTCAAAATATATGGAGATACTTTTCAGTGTTCTGACGATGTTACATTTTATGATTTGTCCAAAAATATCGAAGCAAACATTATCTAATCAAGTGTGTAGTATGAAACACAGGTAAATCTCAGGTAAATATTTACGTGAAATAACTGACTTGCCATGTCTTGTCATTGTGTCACTAAACTGTACCATTACACCACACGTTCTATAGTATAATGTGTTCGAGGAAACAAAAAAAAAATGAAAGTTGGAAACATTTACCTAAGGTTAGTGATGATCACATGACAAAATTTCGTGTTTTATATATTTTATAAAAAAAATATTTAGAAACGTCTTTTTCTTTTTTGCAGTAATGTTTGTGCTGATATGACATTGATTGCACTGTCTAAAACGTATCAACATAAAAAACCACATTGTTGTAATGGGGTTGCTGTTGGGTGAGTGGGGGATAAACGCTTACTACTAAGTCATGAATTGACATCGGTCGGATAACGTAGTGGTGATTTGCGTATTTTCACTGTCGGCCGAGGTTCGATTTCCCGATCACATGTGGAAAGGTATATGTATGGGATTGTTTGGCCAGCCACGTTGGTTTTCTCTGGGTACTCCGTTTATTCCAACATTAAGAACCGGGCAAACTAGAGCGATTACTATAAGTTGATACTGACTTGTTTTATAATTGTTGTAAAATAAATAAAAAATGGTATGGTGAGTAAGGGATGATGAGCACTTGTTTCAGTTCGCAGCATTGGCACGGTCTGAAAATACTGGTGAAAGGATTTAGGCCACGGTGTTTCATAATTTTTATATTTTCCTGTCATGTTATGCAATATTATTAACAGAGACCCGTCTCGCGGTACGCAGATGATGGTCAGGCCGATGACGCCCCATCTATATCAGCCTGTATAGTGAATATGCATATTTTGAACGTGGTACAAGTTCACGTGATATGTCATAGTCGTAATGGAACACCTCATCCGATATTCTTTTCATTACGTGTACCAATTCTTACACATTTACACCGTATATTTTTTTGCATAACAGTGTATGTAATGACATCAACCAATACATGTTGTTTGGATAAAATCAACAATCGACAACTAGAGACAGCAGTAATGTTCTTATCCGAAAGAAATTTAGATATTTAAGCTTTTCATTACAGAAATCGAATTCCGGCCTGCATCATCTACATTAAATGTAACTTTCAGCTGAGAGACAATACTATATAGTTAACACACCTTAATGTTCTACCTGTGAATTAAAAGGTATGATAATTACCTGCAGGTCTTACAGATTAACACCATAGCCGAATGGCATTTGCGATACCTACCTGTGAATTAACAGGTAAACTAATTACCTAGAGGTGTTACCTCTGAATGTCATTGCCAAAGGGCATTTGTAACCTATCCTCTAAGTTACACAGGAAGTATGGTGTACCTGTGCGTTTAATATCTTCCCTAACGTTAAAAGAAAAAAAGAAAAAATGTTGTTGAAAGGATTATAATCGATTTCAACAGAGATTAACTCTATTTTATATGCTTTTTTTACTTTATGCTAGTAACCTGTACCTCGAGTTGACAATGTTAATCAGGTTAATTTTAACCTGCGTATGTGTATCATATAGGATATTAGGTGGTTTTTTTGAAATCTCTTTTTGAAACTTAATTCATTTTTTTTGTGGTAATGGGGGGGGGGGGGGTCTAAAATATCAATATGAACATATTTTTTTCATTTTTTAAACAAAAATATATCTTCAGGGCGGAGATTATATTTTGTAATAAACCTTCTGATTAATCAAATACATATCACCTTAGACTGTAAAAAATCCAGCCTAATCCAGTTCCAGTTATAAAGAGCAAGTTAAAATAGCAATGACAAATCCAATGTTGTGAAGCCTTTTTGAATTGAATATCACCAACTAGAGTGAGATGGACGTTCTTACCGGCTTGTAAGAACAGCGTAAACCAAATTGTATAAGTGTTTGGTGTAGTTTAATTGCTATTATGCTTATTGTGTCTAAAGTCAAATAAGTTGACTCTATTGTGTGCGTGTCTTACGTCCATTTAACTAAAGTGACTGTGTGACTATATTTATGGTTCAGTAAACATTACTTTGATTTTATTTCGGAATTGATTCTTTTTTTAAGCACATTCTTATGTTTTTAATTGATAAGAAAGAATAAAAGAAGTGTAAATGAAAAGAATGGCTGAAGACGACTTTGGTCAATTCAGATTAGAATTAAACGTATTTTGACTAATTCAACTAATGTTAATCAAAATTCTCCAAAACCGTTTAAGATTACTTTCTACACAGATGAACTATATAAGCATGGCCTGCATGTCTTCTTCCTACGGTAGTTAATCGTTATATGATAAAATTCATGATATACGACCATGGGATGGGGTTCTACACCAAAATTGTAAAATTATGCCGAACTTCATTTATTTGCAAATATTTACATTTGGTGTGGCAAAGCCCTTCGATATTACTACTGTCTCATGCAATCAGTCAGGATTTAGATCAACATTCACTGAGTTATTTTCAAAATGGTGGAAATTTTGGCAAAGCTTTTAGTCATGCTCTCCGTGATTATGTCATCGGACATTGGCGGGGGATTTATAAGACCCTATAATTTCCAATTTCTTAATATTGACAGAGCATTCGATCACTAACGACTCAATTACATTGAATTTTTAATCAAGCCTGTGCCTGGCTGGTAGTTCAGAGAGGGCATATGCTAATAAGCCGCCCGCGTGAGCATTTCTGTCTTTCCTATAGCCCTTGAAACAATCGTAGTTAAAGCATGCCTGGGCGAAGGTGCCGTCAAGTTTAGTTTCACTAAAGAATAAATTGAGTTTGCAGGATACATGATGTTTCAGGAATTTTGTTGAGTAAGATTTAATGTTCAAATGTGCAATTATGATGTTCATTGACAAGCTTTACGCTTACCTCTTAGTTCCTCAAAGACATCAGTATGGGAGTTGTTTAGATCGACCTATCACTCTCAACCGATATCCGGTCACTGGGAGGTGTATTTCATCATCAGATGCAATTCTCAAGAAGGAGTCTATAAATTGAGGAAGGGTACACATACATCATTACCAGTAGAGTTAGGAGAGTTTCCTTAAGCAAAGAATTCCTCCGCAGATAAGTCGATGCATTTCCTTTGGTGCCTGAAATCGCATTTATTACACTGGTTGGACTTAACAGATTTACCACAAACACCACAGATGAATCGCACTGGTCCTGGGTTGGACAATATATCGCTAGAACTGAGCAAGGTTAACATCATCATCACATACTTGATATTACAGAATAGGTCTGTTATCTTTGTTATATAGTCGTTACGCGTTGGAGCCATAACTGAAGTGAGTAGTTATCACGGAAAAGTTATTCAAGAAATTTTGGCACTTTGGAAGTAAGATTTCTTCCAACTTTTACTAGGAATGTATTCAGTTATATGTACATGTATTTGGTGTCAGTAAAATCATCTTGAATACGTCATGATACAAGCCAAACACTCATTACAACCAAATTACCACCAATCAGATTATCAATCAGAACAAAATGTTGAGAAAGAGAGAGGATTTGTGAAAAGTTTAAAGCTTCGCCAGTTATTATATGTTTATATGAAACATAGATATTTTAAATGTACAAATGTATATGGGAATTGTTATGTGTTTGCCTGTAATCCAGGCCTACACTGGTCTCCGTATTACCTGCAAAACAGCCTGCTATTTGTTATTTGGAAGACTTTCGTTTATTGAGGCATATAAGTATTTTGTCTAACCGAGATTTACACCTGTATTAGCTAGCCCTGCGAGCAAACCAACTCTTTAATCCCGGGAACAGTAAGCTGAAATTGTGATTTATCACCAAACACCCAAAACCCAAAAACCATTCCTTTCCAAATGTACCAAAAAATATTAAAAAGAACTGATCGCTTAGAGACGTAGGCTGTCGCTCATTTATCTTTTTATCATCAGTTTGGTAAGTTTGTGCTTTATACAGACCACAACAAACTATTGTGCCTGGATTCGCCACTTGAGTCAGTGACCGACGAGGGTGGAAGGTATAACATAAACACGATATGTTTGTATCTATAAAATTGATACTGTATATATCTCTGATCAGCGACAGCATTGATACAACTGTAGTTGTCGGTAACGACTGATCGAAAGTCACATGCCGTTTGATCAGCGGTTGATAGGTCAGATCAAGCATGCGTAGTCTGCAGACTTAAGACGGCTGTCAAAAAGCTGATCGATACGCTTCGACCGCTAAAGCTGATCATGCCGAAAAAGACGAGCAATGACCAGCCGCGAGCCGTACGCTGTTCGAACGCAGGACACACCTCTGACCGAACAGATGCCGGACTATTCCCAAGAAGATAATTGGCCGTAATTATAAGTGCAACACATTAAATCTATTTTGTAGGAATCCACATCTTTAGAAAAAGTTCCCAAACCGATGACAACCACATCAAACATGACGAAATGCAACAAGGTGACCATGAGCGTTCTCTGTCTGTTTGTTTTAGCCAGTATCGGTATAAACAAGTGTAAGTATCAGCAGTGGGTATAAATATATTACTTCGTTCTGATGAAATATGTCTTTTTATGTTGGTAGCTGGCAGTTCAATTGGTCTTAAACACATGTTAGGAAACTGAGGAAATTGTTTTTGCTTAAAGTTAACATGACAATCAAAATATGGATTTTTTTATGTTTGATTATTTAAGTTGAGTGACATTAGCCCTCACAGTTACTAGAAATCAACACCTTGGACTGCATGTCACGTTTCCGTTTTGAGAGTATCCTTTACAGATTTAATGGATTAAAATGTAAGAGCCATTTTAAACCAATTTCATATTTCAGCAGTTTTTATTTAATCATTTCAGAAAATGATAACATACCCATGCAATATCTTTCGCAATGCCATTGCTATAATTTATTATTGATACTGTATATGGTAACATTGAATTATACATTCTTTGTGGATTATAAAAATCAAAATCTTAAACAAATTATCAATGTGTTTTTGAGTCAAGTGGAATTTATCTTTGAATATATTCCTTAATGACAGCAAACATCAATAAAGAATAATATAGAAACTATTTCCAGCTATCAGAGTACAGACCACAAATATGTTAAACAGTTTATTTCGAAATTGACATACTATAATGATTATATTTTATCTCATATGCATATAATGATATTTATGTTGCTCTGAACTCAAATCAAAATGAGGGTACCCACAACCCGTAGTGTTAAAAAATCAGATTATCGTGATAGTGACATTGTTAACATCATGATTTGTTGCTGCCGAGCTTACTATAGAAATACAGCAAAACAAATAAAGTTGTAAGTAATTTCGGTCAGTACTAATCATTTATGTTTTAAATTGTCGCAATTTCACTTTTCCTCTTTTACACAATTCAAGTACTGATGTTTTTAAGATTTGAATCCATCAGTTTTCGTGAAAGGGAGTTTAAAAAACTGAGTTTTTAAGAAAGTATCACCAAAGTAAAGTAATCTATTACTTTTTTCAGATTTCAATCCATCAGTTTTCGTGAAAAAAGAGTTTGAAAAACTGAGTTTTCAAGATACTATCAGCGAAATTCGTAAGTAATCTAATTTTTATTTAGTTTTGAAATTTGATAATGACACAACACCTTTATTCACTTGTAATATATATAATAGAAATACAGTTCCAGGTTTTGTCGATCTTCTCTCCTTCTTGTTGATTTGTACTTTTGGGTTTCACGGTCCTATATAAACACCATAATTTCCTTTCATGATACTCCAGTAATCATATTGTTATGACTCTGCTAAACTGTCATCGTAATTTCATGTTTATATTAATTGTGACGACTGCTTCACTGACTAAATGTTCTGTTATATCTGAACCTCAGGCATGCTTTTCCTCGCAATATGAGGATTTTTCAAAGAAGGGTTGCTATTTTGGACTTTGTCGTAGATAAATATACCTTCTAATTTTACAATCAGGCCATCATTAAAAAATACCATCACGTTTTTAACCTTTCTTCATAATTTTTAGTATGCAAGAACAAGCTGCAAAACATGTCACTGGCCGAAAAAAGCATATACATTTGTAAAACTGTCTACATGAAGGTACTTCTTTGCATTAAATGACAGTTTCTTTGGCCGATTGTACACTTACTTTTGTTATAAAATAAAATGGGTTTTTTTCGGGCACATCATTGTTATTATATAATTTACAAATATATTTAAGTAGGTACATGTATGTATGTAAGTCTTGCACCGTTCTATGATATTACTTTTCAGTGCAGCGGCCGGTATGGACAGCTTTCAAGCATGTGTAATAATCTTCATTTTGCCCTCTTGTAATCAGAAATACCATTACAGTTCACGAAAATGTGGATAAGTACACATTCAACGAAACATGTCATGTCACATGGTTTGAAACATGTACATACAATGTAATTTTTACATTTCCATATACGTGTTTGCGTAATCTTAAATTCACGATGTGCGCAAGCAACAGGTCTTCGAAAAAGATACAATGTTGTACACTGCTTCTGAAATCAAGGACGACACCGACCTCAAACGTTCTATCGACCAATCGACGAACCAGAAGCAGTGAGTGACGCGCTGAAACAACCGTTCGGTTTGTGGGCGTGTTCTTTTTTAACACGGCTTGTTGGCGCCGTGACGATTTTGATTGTAAATGATGATTAGGTTACTATGATGTTTTAACATATAAGCGGGTTTTTCCTTTTCTAAAAAAGTTATATTTTATGTCTTGATGTACATTGGGTATGATTATAATCCCAAGTTTTACTAAGTAGTTGTTTTAGAGAAATGAGGCATGAACATTGATGAGAGGGGTTTACAATTTGATACGTGTTTTAGTTTGTCTTTAAATACAAATGTAGAACTCTGTGAATGATTATCAATGGTAATTATGTTATACATGTACTGTAGCAGATCACCAATTGTCTGATATTAGTTTAAAACCGTTCATGTGTTAAAATGTTAACAATGAGCATGTTGTCGATTATTTACTTTATTACAAAGCTAGCATTTATACAACAATGTACAACCTTTTAATGGTTTGAATGTCTGATGGCATATTAGCTCAAAAACATGAACTTAGCTTTCGGCAACATTACTTAAAACATTTATTCAAGTAATATTTATAGGTGATCTGGTTTTGAAAGTAAACATTACATCAGTATATTCTGTCATGTGTTCAAGTGATATAACATTTACAAGATACATAATATTGGTGTAAATGCAGTACCAAATTGTTTTCATGAATAGAATTATGGCGGTTAGGATATGAAAATTATATTATATGTACAACTGACTCGTGTCAATACTGGAATTCATTGATACTTTACTTCAGTTGCTGTAGACGAAAACATTTAAACAAAGTATCCTCATCTGCTTAAAGAGTATGGCAACTTCATACTGTCAAAAGAACTTTGTACTAAACCTGATCATGAAACCACATTTCCCGCAATCATTTATAGTCGAACAAATAAAGTGTTGTTGTTGTTGTTTTCTACAGTTCTTAACATAACAATTTTGTATATACCTCATACAGCTAAATGTGAGTTTCGATAACAATTAGTCACATTAAGTGCTTAAGCTACGATCAGAAACAATGTATAGAAGAAACAATGGTGTAACCTGTATTTAAAACAGTTTCCTGGGTCACATGTTATGCTCCATCATCTCTCTTGTCATATTGGGTAGGACAAAAGAAACATGGAAGATTTTGAAATGACATAAATGGAAATCAAGCCATGATCGCGATTGAAAAGTTCTTCTTCAGAGACGATGAAGGATTCTCCTGTGTAATATCCCTTTTAGAAGCTGATTGATCAACATCCGATACAGTTATGCTAACAAGTACTTGCTTGTAGGTAGCAAATAGGTTGTTACTCATTTACAGAGAGAGACTTACAATCAATCAGGAAGTTAGTTTGTTTGGTTTTGAGGTTTTTGTCATGTTGTAGGTAAACGTTGCGAACAGAATATGGCAACGAGAATAAATTATTGTCGATGCTATGTTTATTCTAGCGCACGTGACACCGAAGGTTACTAAAATCCTGGTTGTAGCATACATGCGGAGTGGTTCGTCCTTTACTGCCGAGTCACTACAGCATGGTCCTGATGTTTCGTTTTACAGCTTTGAACCCCTTTTGAACGTCGTTAAGGGTTCCATATATGCGATGGACTGCAAAGGTAGTAATTGTAGGTAGGTACACATAATACTATTAATAATACCACTGTATAATTCGAATCATAAATCAGTCATGTTGATGTTTAATTATGAATGTTTTATTTAGGAGGCGAGTATGTTCAATCACACACGTCCAGAAGTTTGAATTTTATTCCGAAAACAAGACATTGATCATTTTAATCTTGTCTAAAACAACGACATTTACAGCATGCTTACATTGCCAGATCGTAATAATTGTTTTGTTTTTTTTATCTGAAAACACAAAACCGATATTACTGGTGGAAGCACGCCATATTTGTTCCCATCTTTGCTGAGGTTCTCACACTCAGTTTTGCACCCGAAGGTCTACTATCTATATCACAAATGCCTACAAAATGTTTGACTCTTCTTTTCCCGCCTCTTAACCGAAATTTACGAACAGAACACCGAAAATGCAATTGCAACACTAAATATGTTGAAATTACTCAAAACACAAACAAAGGCTATGTTTGGAAAGAGCATAAACTATAAACCAAATTAAAGAGATACCGTCAGGACCATTCTAACGTATCACTCGATAACGACAGTCATTATCGTGCGCGTAGTGATTCATACACCGTGTACATATGTGTAACAGTTACGTCAACAACCCGGGGGGTTCCATTGCTATTTTCGGAAGGAAACAGAAGTACTAGAGATATAAAAAATTTACAACTCATTAATGTATTCATGCAAAAGATACATTGTTGAAATGTATACATACATTTTTGAAATGTATACATTCCGATAACATCACGTTGTTGACAGTGCCCGATGATTAATACACCGACTGACAGGACGGCTGAGTTTTGTCTTTTCCTACCTGTTTGTGTTTATTATATATACGTTTACTTTGATGGCATAGTGTAAACAATACGATAGAAAATCAAATTTTTACAATAACGTTCGATATACAGCAATTTTGCCGTAATATTTTCAACTGCACTCTATAAGGCTGGTAATAATGATAATCACAATACAGGACGGGTTCAATAACTTTACATGACCAACATGCTATATGCCTGCCTGATTACTGATAGTTAGATCACAGCACACGAAGTGGGTTTTGAAATGATTTGAGTTAAAATCAAAGTTATAAAATTACTTCGTGTGTTTGTGATTTTGTAGACACTATATATGTCTAGCTACCGTTGCCGTGGAGTCAGGATAGTTTCAAAACTGCGAGCCGTTTTGGTGCCATATCATAACGTTCCGGAATTAAACGGAACATCTATGGGTTTTAAATAGAACTGTTGAGGTAAACTGGTGATGGAATGACAACGATTTTATTATAACAGTTTACGAGTGCGAGTGAAATATTGTACGAGTGCAACGGAAAACGCAACTTTGCAAGTTGTGCTAAAAATAGCAACTTTAAAGTAGGAAATATCGACAATGAGTTATGATTACATGTTTAAGAGCGAACATACAAACCAATGTGATGTTAATGTTGAAGATAAGCAGCCAATTCCGTTCGTATAAGTCCTAGTTTGGTCGTATCATGTCACTGTTGCTTTCGAAGCATGGCGCGGAGCGTAACCGTATCACACATCGGGCTTGGATGGAATGCTTTTAGTTCTCCCGCGGAATATATTTCGGTTAAAAAAAACGCGTTTTTTTTTTAATATTAAAGTACAAGACTAAATAAGAATTATTCGTTTTAAAACGAATATCTTACACTTTTGTTAGACATGTAATATATTCCATGTGTCATTGGCATGCTCACCCCTGTCTAGATACTGCACAAACATTCATGTAAAACCTTAGTTTAGGATTGACATTTATAATCTCTTCAAATGTGATCTTTATCACGAGCTAGATGAACCGTTTCCCACATTATAATTTAGAAAATGAAATTTGAATACTGTATAGCGCTTTAAATTCGCGGGGTCAATATTTCGCGGTTTCGTATTCAGTACATATTCGCGGGGGTAAATTTCGCTGTCCACCCAAATCCTATGGGTCGAGCAAAGTATTGTGCGTGTCATCATTTAGGGTTAAAACCTTAAAATACAGGTAAACCGTTTGAAAACAGTGATCCTGAGTGTCGTCATCCGCCAGTGACTTCACTCGAAAGAAAATCAAATGAGTATGTAACTTTGTAGGAGTAAACTGTAATCAATTAATCACCTACTGTGTACACATAAATATGTTATAGCCGCTTCTATGTAAGTGTTATTTTTACATGGACTGCCAAGTTGTCCGGTTATAATTTGTTTTTTTGTTCATTGAAGCTTGCATAACAGAGTTGGGTTATAAGTATTGTCAACACGTTGAGATAAGTTCCGTAAAAGTTGTTAACATTTTCGATAATTTCGCTCGTGTTTGGAATTCGTGGATATTAGTCAAGTTACATGAGACTTATTGCATGCTAAACTGTAAGTGAATGTAGATATCGTCAATCGTTATATATCAAACTATTAAAATATTGAATATTTCTAACTAGTCTTACATTGTATGAAACATAGAGAATAATACATGCCTTTTTCCATATCACACCCAGCATCAACCCGAGACTGTAATATCAGCCCGAGAGTTGATATTGGTTGAGGGTTGATACTTGGTGTGATATGGAAAAAGGCGTGTTTTATTCTGTTTATTACATACTTACTAATAAAAACCACTATCTTATGATCTATTTTCTTTTTGAAATATTGGAAAACGAAAAGAAATCCAAAAGGGGTGTGATATGGGTTTTGCGGGCTGATACGGGTTTGGGTGTCTGATACGGCGATGGCTGATATTGGTTAGAGCAAATGTGTCGTATCGCATATGCAATAAACCCGTATTTATTAGTAATTATGTGATAAATCAACGTAATCCATTCATTAATAAAAGAACATATGTTCTGGATAAATTACTTTACAAACTTCTGAACAAGTCGAACGCAGGTATACATTTTATATATTTAAAACAAAAATATCGTTTGGTTACTGAAGTAAAATATACAAAATATACAGCATATTTCGTTTATACAATGTATGTAAGTGTTAAACTATGTGAGTCCAGAACAACATAACTTGCTTTATTTTCCGTGTTTGTAGAGTGGTGAACCGGACGGATGAATTGTCTCAGACGACTGCTTCAATAATCAAGAACATATTTGAATGCAAGATGTCAGCCCTTCCCGATGAGGCGTTATATGCATTTTCTGTTTTCTCGCAACTTCGTGATCATGGGAGATTGAAAGACTGTTTCCCAAAGCCCGAGGAGTTTAAACAGATAACGAACAATACAAGGTTAAGTAGCATGATGGAACGAAAATCACAATGTCTTTCTTTTCTGGAATCCAGATGTCGAAATTCAACAGTTCGTGTTATCAAGACAATTCGAATGTCGTTACATTTGTGTAAGGACCTATCAAAGACAATAGAAAATATGAAGATACTTCACTTAGTACGTGACCCGCGAGCTTCGGTCTACTCACGCAGAAACCTTGGTCTTGATTTCAGTAATTCATTAGTTAAGATATTATGCAATAGGATGTCACATGATATTGATGAAGGTCAGCTGATAGGGTCTTATTTTCCCGGTCGGTTTTATTCACTTAGATATGAATGCCTAGCACGAAATCCGGAAACAGTTTTAAAAAAACTGTACAGCGACATGTCTTTAGAATACGATTCAGAGACTGAGAAATGGATGCAGCTATATATGAAATCTCAGAATCGCGGCCAAAACGGTTACCAAGTCTTCAAATCTAATTCTTCCAGTCGATCTACCAATTGGCGCTTGAGAATTCCCTATATAGACACTCTGAACATCGATTCACTGTGCAAAGATGTGTATACAAAGATAGGAGCGCGTTCATTCAATTCTGCGATGGAACTTGAAAATCTAGGAATGAGTGATATGTATGTTACTCCCTATACCGAACGATATTGTAAATAAATAGGAATTTAGATGAAATGCACCTATTCAAAAGATATGATGTTGGTATATTATAATGTGTTAGAACAATATTTTTGTATTACAATGCTTGCGTGGAGATCTCATTTTGCTTCAGCTTCTATGCAATGGAAATGTTCTTCGTGCAATACGTTAAATTACTCCCCATCATGTTCTATTCATATTTATTACATTTTTGCTCGTGAACAATATCAAAATATTAGCCACACTCGTGAAATATATTTGTCATTACTGAAGACACCATTAACTATCCTCTATATATTAGCTTGGTAACAGCTGATCACATAAAGACATAAATGGCTATAGTCACTATGTCCTAGCTTCCAGACTAAGCCCTTTAATGGGGACCATTCTGTCTGTGATGAAGGGATAAGCCCGACTGCTTGGACACCGTGTTCCCTGTACGATCTTTGTGATAGACAAATAACAACACGTAATTGTTCATTTATCAAATTATACAAATTATTATTGTCTCATACGGGAGAGTTGCATGTACTTCGATTTCTCAGTAATAACATCTATTTATTTATCACAGCATAAGCTATTATATATATGTACACGTTTCTAAAGTTATAATATCATCATGACTTACGACATAGGGTCACACCGTCATCCGTACAATCCTCAACTAAGTATCGAAGTATATGAAAGTCGTATTGAAATATGTGTTTTATTGCATGGCAGCAACACTGATAAATAACATAAACAGGAAACCCGTTCTTAAGATAATAAAAACCACATGCGGTGTAAACTAGTTTAATTAAAAGAGAAATACGTTTTAAAATGTATTTCTTCAATAAATATGTAATGCATGAGAACTACGTTGCTCTGATCTCAAATCTGGATGGTGGAGGGGAGGTAGGAGGTGCTCGTACATAATGTTATACATCTACAACCAAATAGTGTTTCTATCCAAAATATGCGTGTTCATTTCATTTTAGTTTTAGTTTTAGTTTAAACATATTGTATTGCTTCTAAATTCAAGCAAGAGGATTATGACAACTTATAAAAATCCCTCTCCTCAACAATTGTACTACAACAATGTGCTAGCAACGATAGACATATATGTACATTTTTATACCATAAAACGAATTTGGAAAACAGAAAAAGGAAAGAAGATACTGATTGAAAGTGAAGGGAAACAGGTTGAAAGTGCAGGGAAATCACATGAATATCATAAAGCATTTCTTATCATATACAACAATATAATGTATATTCTAACACGATTCGTTTGCAACGCGTGTTTTGATTGGATACGGACTATGTTCTTATCTGCGATAGAATCATGATCAATCGTGTTAAGCTCCTCCCATCGCACTTAAGCCACGCCCCGTTTCTAACTAAAACAATATGGCGTCACGCTCGCCTCATAGCGAAATCCCGCTGATACAGGCCAGTAGGCAACATAACAGAAACGACCGATGAAATGCATTTATTGAATGAACTAAAAAGTAAAAATAACACAATCCTTGCTCTTACCTCCATTTATTACTGAAACGTTCGTTCCATTCGTGTGAAGGCATCTATTAAGATCCGAAATCAAATCAAACATTTCACATGTGTCGTATGCATTTACACAAAACTCTTCATAAATCTAAACAAATAATCACCGATTTTGTCGATAAGCACAGATTGGTATGCATACTGACATGTACATGTATGAACTTGTTCAATAGGAAACCGAATGTGTCATATAAACTTTGATAATAGGACGTTCACGAACAATCCTAATATTCCGCCTCGTCAACATACAGATCGAGCTCTCGCCAGTATGGGCGGGGCTAAATGACCGACTTTTGAAAGCTTCTTTCCGATTGGTCAGTCCGCTGCAGAATGACACGTCGCCAGTTCAGGTCACAAGGTACTTTTGTACAAGAAAATAATATTTCTAAACATATTAGCGTAATATATTTGTTAAGGTGTGTTAGAATGGGGATAGTACGTTGTTTTTCGTGTCTATACTGGCGATTAGAACATGAAATTTGGTTTAAACTCTCGACCTATCGGTCTCGAG